GAGAAAAAAGAACTTAGGGAGAACTTTTAGATTAGTCCGATTAATTTTGCATAATTGTGTAATCAAACCGAAAATAGAATCTAATTTTTGGTCGGTGGAGGTATATTTGTTTGTCATTATACCGTTGTAAATTTTAACACTCAAGTTTTTAATTAATTTGGTAATAAAAATCTCTCTTTCCCTTTCACCATTGTTGTATAGTTTGAGAGTGTTTGAATAAATAATAAATAGAGAATTTTGAGTGTTTAGTTACATAATTGTGAAAACAATGTAGACATGAAATCCGTAATTGTAACTGTTAGAAATTTAATAAGTTCGCATTTTTGAAGTATCATAATATATTAGTATTTTTGTGTGTGTGCAAATACTTAACTTGATCATCCGTCTAGACCGGATTAGTTTTGAAGCTACTCAACTTATGTCGTACCTCTACGGCTCTACCTAAGGGCACCTAGTTTTTGTGTTGTTTTAGCAACTTAAATTAAAAACTTAAGACCTATTTCGGATCGCTAAAGAAGATGGAAAAATAGATATTTGGAATCTTGAGCCAAATGAGAAACATGAACTCAACATTATAGGACATGCTTCTTCTTATGGTTATACCTTCATCATATTTTTATTCAATATTAAAATGAGTTTTTCTTGATCCTAATATTACGGCATGATGCAATAATCATGTTGTGCTTAACAAACATCACATTTTTCTTCTGAAATTGTTGACATGCATGTGATTATATTCATCCCCTCGATATTATTGGCCAATTTCTTCTCCGTTTTCTCCTCCACTTATCACGTTTGCCACTCATGTTTGGCTCCGTATGACCCGTACATGATTTCTTCTTTAATTCCTTAATTTATTTTATATACATTTGTTAATACATACATGGATCCGGAAATTGCTTGCCTTGATTTGAAAAAATCAGGATCATGTAACGTTTTTATTGCTAGGTAAAGAAAAATCGGTTACTAACCAATTGACTCGTCACATGCATTGATATCACGTCCCATATCATCAACATGCACTGTCATTTCTCTGACATTTCCACTTGCTTTTTCAGTTATCTAATCTGAATACAACATGATTTTATGTATGAACACGTTCTTCTTATATACGGATTTAGCTAGGTTCTACTCTAAATATTGAACAAATTTTACCCGTGAACTTTTTAATCTACCCGTGAACTTTTTACGCGGTGTAATTTTACGCGATGAACTTTTATAATTCAACCGCAAATCATATTTTGGTTGTGTTAAAATGTTTTTTTTTTGTTCTCAGCATTTGCCTAAATAGAACACATATAGACAAAACTGTTTGTATCCGATTATATGAAATTTATTATATGCATGATACCATAACATGTTATATATAAATGATCTTTTACAAGATATTTTTATAATAAAATAAACAATCGAGTTTTTCAGTACATTAATTAGATCATGATGAACGATTTATCTCACAACAGACACAAATCTTAAAACAAAAAAAAAAAATCTACAACTTAGTTGTAATATTCAGAAATTTGACAAGAACAAAAAATGTCCTCAATGACGTTGACAAAAAAAAGAAAAAAAAATCTCAATCGTCGCTAGACCCTTTTCCACACGTATATACTACACAATTTTAAGAAAACCAATTTCATATTACTTTTTCTCCTTCAGATCTAAGGTTTCTTTTCTATGCTATAATACCAAATATAACAAGAAAAGAATTTAATCCACAAATATAAATTAGAATAAAACAAAAATCCATTCTATAACTACGCAATACTATAAATACCCTCCACTAAACCGTTTCACATCCAACAAACCCACCACGACTACTCAACTTCTCCCTCTAACTCTATCTCACAAAACAATGCCTTCTTCACTTCTCACATTTCTCCTCTTTCTCCTCTCAATCTCATCGTCCTTAGCTCAAACCTACAATATCCTTTCTTACGGAGCCAAACCGGATGGCAAAACCGACTCGACCAAGGCCTTAACCGCCGTGTGGGCCAAAGCATGCGCCTCGGTCAAGCCGGTTACCATTTTGGTCCCTAAGGGACGGTTTTTGATAGGAAGCATTGTTTTTGATGGAGCCATGTGTAAACGCAAGCCCGTTACGGTCCGTATCCAAGGTACACTTGTGGCTCCATCCGATTATCGAGTCATCGGTAAAATGAGTCATTGGATTTTCTTTGAACATCTTGATGGTCTCTCCATCTACGGTGGAGTTCTTGACGCTCAAGGAGCTTCTCTATGGTCTTGCAAAAAGTCCGGCAAGCATTGCCCTGGTGGTGCCACGGTACGAATTCACCATTTTACCCATTTATTGTATAATTAAATTTTGTGACAACTGATAAATATGTTAAGCTAGAAAATGAACAATTTTGTTTTGTTGCCGTACAAAATACTGATCATCAAAGTATAAGTAAAATTTTTGTTTCAAAAGAAAGAAAAAAAAAGGGTTAATTTATGAAAGCCGACAAGTTAAAGTATCAAACTCTGTCTTATATTGCTTCTCTTCCAAATTTTATATAGTTTTTTTTCCAAATTTTATATTGTTTGAACACTTTTATAGCATTTTTTTTGTTAGTAATAGATATTTTGAAATTGACATATACGCCGTTTTCTTTAATTAAGTTCCGTGAATTTCGTTAGCACGATCCAAATGATATGTTTTCCGTATTTTTTCTCCACTTTTCCCGGTAGCATAAATTACAAGTTACATCCACATATATTATTTTTTGTTGACTAATGCAATAGTATGGTTTTAAATAAATATCATGCTTAGTTGACTTCATAAGCTAATTAACGTACAATCTCAATTCACAATTTCACATGGGCTAATCATAGAGAGTCATTAATGTAAATGTTATACGAAATTAAATATGCAATGATAACATTACATTTTTGGACAAACTGCATTATTAACACGTGAGCAACGAATTACAAACAGAGCATAGGGTTTCAAAGCTCAAGCAACGTACTCATCTCCGGGCTGACGTCACTTAACAGTCAGATGTTTCACGTCGCGATTAACGGTTGCCGTAACGTAAAGCTAGACGGAGTCAAAGTTTCAGCTGACGGAAACAGTCCAAACACTGACGGCATCCACGTCCAATTATCCTCCACCGTCTCCATCTTCAACTCCAAAATCTCCACCGGCGACGATTGTGTCTCCGTCGGTCCCGGCACTAACGGTCTTTGGATCGAAAACGTCGCTTGTGGCCCTGGCCATGGTATTAGGTATTTTCTATTAATCAAATTACTTATGAAAATTATCAAAGTGTTACATTTTCTAGTATTTTTAGTTTATAAAAATAAAGTTTTTGGTTATTTGATGAATTATAGTAAACAAATTAAAGCCGAAACTAACTTAGAAAGGTTTGATATGATTTAAGAAGTATAATAACCAACAAAAACCTTGACCC